GGGTGTGGCCTTAGAAACGGATGTTCCTGTGGCCTTGGGACAGTAATAAACCATGTGACTTTGAATAAATCACTTTCCCTCTCTGGGCCTTAGTTTCTTCTCACTTAGGCTAGCTAGGACCCCTGGTGCCCCCTGGTCCATCCCCTCAATCCTGTGTTAAAGAGAAGTTAGGAGATAGACTCTAGGACCACGCTGCGGATAGACTGAAGATGAGAGCAGCTGCACGAGCTGTTGTGAGGACGCACGTGTGCGCACACGTAAAGCCTACCGTGTTCACTCTGTGTTTGTACGGGTGCCTGTACGTGCTCCACAGACGGTCGTTATTGTTACTGTTATCACGAGAGTGAAAGAAACTACAGCAGTTCCCTGTGTCTCTATAAGGCCTGGATTAGAGGCCAGCTGGTTTGCAGGCAGTTGAATGGCCGGGTCGACCTCGGGAGGACCTCAGGGGGTAGGAAGGGAGCTGTTTGCCCCCCTTGGCTGCAGACACGCAGAGAAACCCAGGGCTCCACTCCCACCCAGGTGATCCTCCACTGCTGAGCAGCAGGCCGGGCCTGGCTGGAATACGGTCCGAGGGGCCTGCAAGGGAGAGGAGGAGGCCTCTCCCGAGAGGAGAGAAGCACAACTTCCAACGTACAAAGACAGCCGAGCCAGGCTGGGACCCTGGGTCTGGCTCCTGTGACCCCACTGCTGGCCTCGTGCCTAGGGCCCAGGCCGTGCCTAGGGCCTGTCTGTAGGCAGAGCTCCTGGACCCTGTGGCAGAGGCAGAGGTGGTGCCGGGGCTGGGCGGGGCTCCGTCCTCATGACATGGGGGTCATCTGTGACATGTGGAGTAAGGGTCTCAGCTGGGGCTGGGCGGGGGCCTCCCAGCTGCTGTTTAATGGGTGCTACAGAGGACACGCCACTGCGTCCAGCCAGGAGGCCCACCCGGACTGGGAGTGGACTTACTGCGGACCGATCACCTTCTCTGCCAGGCCCTGTGCCACTTCCAAGTGGCTGGGCCAGGACTCAGACCCGGGTGTTAGCCCTAGGTCTGCCGGTGGCCCAACCGAGTGGGATTTTCTGGGCTCAGTGTCTCCACCTGCCTGCCCTTCTGTGGGGGAGGTCGGATTTCCTGTGACGTCAGTGAGGCTCACACTTCGGGGCCCCTCACCTGCGTGGGCCCCTTCCAGGCGCCTAAACTTTTTCTTTTATATTTTTTTAAACTCTTATTTATTTATTCAGCTGCACCACATGCCTTGTGGGATCTTAGTTCCCTGACCAGGGATCGAACCCAGGCCCTAGTAGTGAAAGCGCTGAGTCCTAACCACTGGACTGCCAGGGAATTCCCAAAACTGTTTGTTTATTTATTTTTAATTAATTAATTTATTTTTGGCTGTGTTGGGTCTTCGTTTCTGTGCGAGGGCTTTCTTTAGTTGTGGCGAGTGGGGGCAAGTCATCGTTGCGGTGCGCAGGCTTCTCGTTGCGGTGGCTTCTCTTGTTGCGGAGCACGGGCTCTAGGCACGCAGGCTTCAGTAGTTGTGGCTCGCGGGCTTTAGAGTGCAGGCTCAGTAGTTGTGGCACACGGGCTTAGTTGCTCCGCAGCATGTGGGATCTTCATGGACCAGGCAAGAACCCGTGTCCCCTGCATTGGCAGGTGGATTCTTAACCACTGTGCCACCAGGGAAGCCCCTCGATCTCTTTTATAGCTGTTACCATTTGCCTTACATATTGAGGTGCTCCTATGTTGGGTGCATAAATATTTAAAATTGTTATATCTTCTTCTTGGATTGATCCCTTAATCATTATGTAGTGTCCTTCCTTGTCTCTTATAACATTATTTTAAAGTCTGTTTTGTCTGATATGAGAATTGCTATTCCAGCTTTCTTTTGATTTCCATTTGCATGGAGTATCTTTTTCCATCCCCTCACTTTCAGTCTGTATGTGTCCGTAGGTCTGAAGTGGGTCTCTTGTAGACAGCATATATACGAGTCTTGTTTCTGTATCCATTTAGCAAGCCTGTGTCTTTTGGTTGGAGCATTTAATCCATTCACAGTTAAGTTAATTATTGATATGTATGTTCCTATTGCCATTTTCTTAATTGTTTTGGGTTTGTTTTTGTAGGTCCTTTTCTCCTCTTGTGTTTCCCACTTAGAGAAGTTCCTTTAGCATTTATTGTAGAGCTGGTTTGGTGGTGCTGAATTCTCTTAGCTTTTGCTTGTCTGTAAAGCTTTTGATTTCTCTATTGAATCTGAATGAGATCCTTGCTGGGTAGAATAATCTTGGTTGTAGGTGCTTCCCTTTCATCACTTTAAGTTTATCATGCCACTCCCTTCTGGCTTGTAGAGTTTCTGCTGAGAAATCAGCTGTTAACCTTATGGGAGTTCCCTTGTATGTTATTTGTCATTTTTCCCTTGTTGCTTTTAATAATTTTTCTTTGTCTTTAATTTTTGTCAATTTGATTACTATGTGTCTCGGTGTGTTTCTCCTTGGGTTTCTCCTGCCTGGGACTCTCTGCGCTTCCTGGACTTGGGTGGCTATTTCCTTTCCCATGTTAGGGAGGTTTTCAACTATAATCTCTTCAAATATTTTCTTGGGTCCTTTCTCTCTCTCTTCTCCTTCTGGGACCCCCTATAATGCGAATGATCTTGCGTTTAATGTTGTCCCAGAGGTCTCTTAGGCTGTCTTCATTTCTTTTCATTCTTTTTTCTTTATTCCGTTCCACAGCAGTGAATTCCACCATTCTGTCTTCCAGGTCACTTATCTGTTCTTCTGCCTCAGTTATTCTGCTATTGATTCCTTCTAGTGTATTTTTCATTTCAGTTATTGTATTGTTCATCTCTGTTTGTTTGTTCTTTAATTCTTCTAGGTCTTTGTTAAACATTTCTTGCATCTCCTCGATCTTTGCCTCCATTCTTTTCCCGAGCTCCTGGATCATCTTCACTATCGTTATTCTGAATTCTTTTTCTGGAAGGTTGCCTATCTCCACTTCATTTAGTTGTTTTTCTGGGGGTTTATCTTGTTCCTTCATCTGGTGCATAGCCCTCTGCCTTTTCATCTTGTCTCTCTTTCTGTGAATGTGGTTTTTGTTCCACAGGCTGCAGGATTGTAGTTCTTCTTGCTTCTGCTGTCTGCCCTCTGGTGGATGAGGCTATCTAGGAGGCTTGTGTAACCTTCCTGATGGGAGGGACTAGTGGTGGGTAGAGCTGGGTGTTGCTCTGGTGGGCAGAGCCCAGTAAAACTTTAATCCCCTTGTCTGCTGATGGGTGGGTCTGGGTTCCCTCCCAGTTGGTTGTTTGGCCTGAGGTGACCCAGCACTGGAGGCTACAGGCTCTTTGGTGGGGCTAATGGCGGATTCTGGGAGGGCTCATGCCAAGGTGTACTTCCCAGAACTTCTGCTGCCAGTGTCCTTGTCCTCACGGTGAGACACAGCCACCCCCCATCTCTGCAGGAGACCCTCCAACACTAGCAGGCACGTCTGGTTCAGTCTCCTATGGGGTCATTGCTCCTTCCCCCGGGTCCTGATGTGCACACTGCTTTGTGTGTGCCCTCCAAGAGTGGAGTCTCTGCTTCCCCCTGCCCTGTCGAAGTCCTGCAGTCAAATCCTGCTAGCCTTCAAAGTCTGATTCTCTGGGATTTCCTCCACCTGTTGCCAGACCCCTAGGTTGGGAAGCCTGATGTGGGCTCACAGCTTTCACTCTTCACTCCAGTGGGTGGACTTCTATGGTGTAAGTGTTCTCCAGTTTGTGAGTCACCCACCCAGTGGTTGTGGGATGTGATTTTATTGTGATAAAATAAATCCCACCATCTCACTGAGGCTTCTCCTTTGTCTTTGGATGTGGGGTATCTTTTTTGGTGAGTTCCAGTGTCTTCCTGTCGATGATGGTTCAGCAGTTAGTTGTGATGCCGGTGCTCTCGCAAGAGGGAGTGAGCGCACGTCCTTCTACTCCGCCATCTTGAACCAGGATTTCTGAGGGTGGCCTCTTGATTCAGCCTTGGCAGTGGGGAGAGGTCAGCTGGGGGCCCCATGTGGCCTTGGCCGTGCTCTCTGGTTACAGCCCAGGTGGCTGACAGCCCACTTGTCTCGCCTCTTCCCTGCATCAGCAGCTCCCTCACTCCCACTGCTGCGGCCCTCTGGGCTCAGCCATGCCCAGCAGGACAGGGCAGTTCCCGGAGGTGGAAAAAGGAGGTAGTAACTCCCGCTCAAGCCCTCTGGCTCTGCCTCTCCCCACCAGCGCCCTCGTTATGGTCTAATCCTACCTGTGGTCAATGCAGCTCAAGGCTCACCTGGCCGCCCAGCCTGAGCGGGCCCCTCCTCTGAGCACGTGGCATGGTCCCGCAGGGCCGTCATGTGGGCACACTTCTCTCCTCCACCGGGGGGTGAGCTCTGGAAAGCAGAGAACCCCTTGTCCTGATCTCATTTACGGTAAGGGAGGACACGGGGCCTGGTCGTCCTGGGGGATCTTGCAGCATCACCTCTAGGAGGCTGGGCCCACAGCAAGCACTCGTGTGACCCGTTGACGGTCTAGCTGGAGCCGTGGAGCTGTGCTTGGCTGGGTTCCCTGTGTTCGGGTTAGGGCCACGGGTTCCTCTCTGGAGACACTCTGTGTCTTGGCACCTGCGTCCCCTGTCCCCCTTGCTGCCCACAGACAGGGCAGACATCCTGTCAGGTCCTGCTCATTGATGGAGGTGGTGGGGACCGTGGGAGCTGCCGGGGGAAGGGCCAAGGAGGAGGCTGCCAGGCTGCGGTGGGGGAGGCTCTGAGGGGGCTTTCCGAGCTGTGCGCCCACCGGCCAGAGATCCACAGCCCTGTCACCCTGCTCTCAGGTTAGCAGTCCCCCAGCGAGGCCTCGGCTTCCTCTCGCTGCTGGGAGATCCCTGGGCTCTCAGGAGGGCGGGAGGGGCCCCGCAGAATCCTCACCCCAAGTGCCGCTCAGGTTGGGGAGGGCCGGTGAGGGGCCCTTGAGTTCGCCTGTCTTTGTCCTGGTCCTCCCGCTGAGTGGATGTTGGCGTCTCTGCAGGTCGGAATGAGCTGATCGCCCGCTACATCAAGCTGCGGACAGGGAAGACCCGCACCAGGAAGCAGGTGGGCCCTGGGGCAGGTACCCTGGCACTGGTCGGCTCCCAGGGTGGCCCGGCCCTCCGCAGGACTGGGTGTGGGCTCTAGGGGCCAGCTTGGGAGGGGTCCTCTGCTGGGTGTGCCACAGATGGTCAGTTTCCTTGGGGTCCCTTCTGCCATCGCCTGGGAGGAGACCCCTCCCCATCCGACTGCACTTGTATTTAACTGGGAGAGGTGGGCCCGAGGTCCCATCAGTGACTGAGCCTTTCATTCATTCGTTCGTCCATTCAGTCTGTGATGGGATGGGGGGCTGTGGAGGGCCGAGGGTCAGGGGAACCGGCCGTCGGGGAGACAGGAACCCCTCTTCCCGCCACAGGTGTCCAGCCACATCCAGGTTCTGGCTCGGCGCAAAGCCCGCGAGATCCAGGCCAAGCTGAAGGTAAGGCCAGGGCCGCAGCGGGAGGGCTCGGGTGGGCCAGCCTCCCGGGGCTGGGGCTCTTCTCCCAGGAGGAAAGGTCTTCCCTTGGGTGTGGGGGCTGACTGCTTATGTGTGGAGCCATGAGCTTCTCAGTGCTGAGGAAAGTGGGGTTCAGCCTGTCACCTTTCTCCCACCTGCACAGAGGATGTTGACTGCGGGCCGTGTCTATGTGTCTGTGTGTGAATGGCCGGGCTCACAGCATCCTGGGAGATACAGGCCGGTCTCCTACTGTGCTCCCTGCCCCCTGCAGCCCAGAGGAACCGGGCACACCCTGAGTCCCATGGTTAGAGCAGCAGGACTGCCCTCCAGACCCCGTTTCTTGCGGACCGTGTGGCCCCTTACTGCCGTCACCCAGATCCCGTGGGTGGCAGGCCTGCAGGGTGGGGTCCACGCTGGGGGAAGGGCTGGTGGGGCTCCCTGGATCAGCCCCACCTTGCAGGCCTGTCTGCCAACAGGCGACTGCTACACGGGGGGCCAGCCGCTGGTGGGAGTCCCCTCGCCACGGGACTCGGGCCTCCTGGACCCTGGACCCAGGGGCCCTTGGCTGGACCCTGGGAGGGAGCAGGCCACCCATCACGGTGGGTGTAACAGAAGAGTCTGGCTGCTTGGTAGGAGGAGCCAGCACTCGGGGCTGAGACCAGTAAATCACAGGCATTTTAATTTTATTTTTATTTTTATGTTTTGGCCGCACTATGCGGCTTGAGGGATCTCAGTTCCCCGACCAGGGATTGAACCCGGGCCCTCGGCAGTCAAAGCGCGGAGTCCCAACTGCTGGACCGCCAGGAAATTCCCCACAAACATTTTTTAAAGCAGTGGAAGCCCTTTCGTTTTTCTCCCAAATTAAATATCACCCCGATCCGTTATCAGAGGAGCTACTCTGGTCAAAGCTAGGTTGGCGAGAAGCGGGGTAGGGACCCTTCGTGCTAGTCACCTCTCAGCCCCCATGACTCTTGAACCCGAAAGCATCCCAGAACCCAGTTTAAAAGCCCCTGGACTAGAGGACCATGGAGGCCCCTTCTGGCCCCGTTGTCCGTGACCCTGACACTGGAGGCTCTGATGGCGTGGGTGGGAACTCCCAGGAGGTTCCATTCCTCCTGCATCAGCCCAGCTGTCCCCCGCCCCTCACAGCTGTGGCCCAGCCCTCGCTCCTTTGTCCCCGGGACAGCTGGCTGGGCCGCAGCTGCTGGTCTCTCCCTCTCAGGCCAGCACATGTGTGCCCGGACATCCCTGGCCCTGCAGCCCACTTGCCCCTCACTCCCCGCTCTGGTCAGCCTGTGACTCGCCAGGGCCTGGTAGGGGACCGGCGGGAGGGCCGAATGTCCAGGGTCCTGTTTAGAGCCATCGAGGGGAGCTCTGCATTCCCGTGGGGGCCGGCTGTACGGCTCATGTGTGCTCGAGGAACGGAACCCGTCCCTGTCCACAGGCTCTAACGTGGGGCTGGGAACAGCCTCTGGACCGCCGGACAGGCTTTGAGGGGAGCCACGGACCCCTTCAGTAACATGCACGTTTTCACGTATGTGCATTTCTCGGAGAAGATTGGTCTGAGGATTTTGTCATATTCTCCAGAGGGTCTGGGGCCCAATGTAGTTAAGCTCCCTGGTGGATGGCAAGGTTAGGTAGAAGTCTGGTCTGGCCTGGCTCTGCCCTGGGCCGTGGGCCCTCTGCCATGTCACCCACCTGCCTCGAGCTCCATCCAGCTTCCCCGCCTGTAAAATGACAGGGTTGAGCAAGGTGGTATCTGAGGTCCCCTCCAGCCGCAAAATTCAGTAGCCTGGTCACTGCTGTCACCCCGCACTCCCACCTGGTTCCTGTCCCACTCGCTGGTCCCTGGCCGTTCATCGGGAGGAAGGGACTCAGGCTGCCGACACAGGGCTGGAGCTCTCTGCCCTCCCACCACTGCAGTTGTTAACAGAGGTTTGTGGGCCTCCTGGGGCGTGGCCTGCCACCCCATTCGTGTCCTGGAGGGAGCGGGCCTGGGCACGTATGGCATCTCCCTCCCGACATCAGCAGAGCCCTTGGGGAGAGACAGCCTAATGCTTTGGTTATCAGAGACAGCCTCAGAGCAAGGCCCGAGTTTGGCCCCAAAAGGACAGTGGGCTGGGGAGTCCCACCACTCAGCACGGCCTCCCGGGCCCTCTGTGCTGAGGATGGGTGCCGGCAGATCCTGACGTGCCCCCTCCTTGGTTCGCTCAGCCCCCCGGGCCTGCAGAGGTCAGAGGTCACGGATGCGCCATCCCGGACGGACCTTAAGGGGCTACTGTCACGTGACCCCTGTCAACACCCAAGCCCCCTAAGTCCTCTGAGCCTCAGTTTCTTCATCTTAGAATGGGGAGCCTACGAGTCCTGCCAGCCTCACGGGGGTGCTGAGATGTTCAGAACCAAAGTGAGACAGCGTTCTTTGCCTTCCGGGGGCCGTCTCGTGTGTGCCCCATGAGCGTAAGGGGTCCCTGAGAAGCCGAGTGGAAGGGCCTGGCCCCAGACCTCATCGCGCAGGATGCCGGGCGCACCACCTGGACCCTTCGGGCCTGACGCCGTGGTGATGCTACCCACCGGGCGAGTGAAGTCATATGCAAAACCAGCTGTGGGCTGAAAGGACCTCCCTCAGCAATTAGCTTGCTTAATACTCAGGACAGATTTGGGTCCCCCAATCTGATTATTAAATAAAGGGCCCACTTATTTTTCCCTTTTAAAAAGTAATTCATCATAAAGATACAGAATTTCTAATCAGAGCTCCCGAGTTGACAGAAACCAACCTTTTGTCTCCAATAATGCTACCCATACTGAATAATACTTGCTGTTCAGTCTGGATGTGTGGTCTTCTTTTGGACCCACTAGGCTTTCTGACATACAGTATGTTGTCTTATTGGTTTTGAAGACCTTTGGGATTGGAGAGCTCAGGATGGGGGACCACTGGCTAATACAAGTAGTAACCAAGTATTATTACTGTTATTATTATAAGCAGGTCATACTGCTGATTTGTTCAGAGCCCCTGCAGGGTGAACCCCTTTTGGAGGGGGTCTTTGGACCATAGAGGGGACCCATAGAGGGCAGATGGTTGGTATTCGCATCCTGACACATAACAGGTCCGGGAGCCATGGCTGCCCGTGGTACAGTAGAGACCCACAGGCCAGGGTTAAGACGGGGGCCACGGGAGACCATCCCTTGTCACCGTCCACGTGACCGAGGATGACCCCTGCCCAACAGATATTCATGCACCATCTCCCGAGGGCCAGGTGAGGCCCCAGCCACCACTGGTGAGCAAGACCTGGGTGGTCCCTGTGTCCCTGAGGTTGGCAACAGGAGCGCCATGGTCTGGCAGGTGGCCTCCAAGTCTCTTTAAACCCTGATGAGACTGGCAGGGCGAGCGATGTGCCCCTTGGACGGATGAGGAGGGTGATCAGAGCCACCGAGTGACTTCCTCAAGTCACAGGACCGGTTCCCAGCCCTGCAGGAACGTGAGCCTGGTCCCCAGGGCCGAGTCCAGGGTCTGACTTCCCTGTCACCAGCTGGACCCGCCTCTCCCGACCTGCCACGGTGCCCACACTGAGGCCTCCCTCGATGTCTCCCCAGGATCAGGCAGCTAAGGACAAGGCCCTGCAGAGCATGGCTGCCATGTCGTCCGCCCAGATCATCTCTGCCACAGCCTTCCACAGTAAAATGGCCCTCACCCGGGGCCCAGGCTACCCGGCGGTCTCAGGGGTAAGTGGGGCTGCCTGGAGTCGGAGGCTGGACTGCCCCGTCCTTCTCACTCCTCCCCCTTCCAAGGCACTGGCCACACCAGAGTCCTCACTTGAGTCGTCTCGGGCCAGGAGAGCCGGGGAAGGAGAGACCAAGGACCGAGGGGCCATGCAGTCGCTGGGACCGCCCTCCTGGGGGCCTCGGCAGTGACAAGGGTGCAGCCGCCCCGTCACACGGCCACCTGGGGGCTCTGCAGAGTTGGCCCCGTTTACAGAAGAGGAGGCTGAGGCCGGGCTTTGGGGCGGCGCCGGCATGTTCTGAGGAGCCGCTCTGCCCCGCCCCCGGCTCAGCCTCGTCCCCCCTCCGCCCTCAGGGGCTCCTTCCAGGTAAAGGGCTGATGTCCAGGAACAAAGTCCTCTCGAAGTTTAAACTGAGAATGGGTCTCTTGGCCGTGGCCACGTGGGTCCCGCTCTAAGAACAGTCCAGAGAGGCCCCTCCTCCCCGGGGCTGAGTCCTCCCAGGGTGTTGTAGGCTGTTGGGACTGACGCACCGCCCCAGGCCCTGTGTCCGGGGAGGCTCTCGTCCAGCATTTTTCCGAGTGTGTCCAGAGGCCGCTAGTCCGGAAGGGCGTTGAGTGGACAGGACGACGGGACAAACGAGTGCACACGTGACTCGGGCACTCAAGTCTCAATAGGATGCCTGACTCCAGATCTCTTGAGAGTCCTGCGTGCCACTGTCACCAGGCATCTGTCCCCGAGGAAGGGGACGAGTGCCGTGTTTGCAAGCCTGGGGGCTTCTCTTGGGAGCCCCTTATGGGCAGGCGTTCCAGAGGCTGGAGGTCCTTGCAGCGCTCGCGGGGACGCCGTGCTGCCTGGCTCTAGGCAGGCACCCTTCCCAGGCCCAGGCCCGGCCTCGCCCTCCAGCGGAGCCCCTGCCCGGTCTCTCTCTCGACGCCGCTGGCCGCGCACACTGGGCTCTGCTGACTCTGTGCTTTTGTCTCCTCAGTTTTGGCAAGGAGCTTTGCCGGGCCACGCCGGAACGTCCCACGAGTGAGTATGGCCACCGTGCTGCCCCGTTGCTCCCTGGGCTGTGCTTGAGCCCGTGAACTCGTGCCGCTGACCCAGGCCTGAGTGTGGGAGAGCCGCAGTCTGGGGTCAGCCTTTCCGGATGGCCCTGCGCTTACGGATGAGGCTCTCCTGCTCTCGGGCACCCTGGGGTGGCGTTTGCTGAAGCCCCAGTCTATCCGGGGCGTAGCAGAACCCGAGCTCAGGACCCCGAGGGGAGCAGGCTAGGAACCAGCCCTGTGGCTGGCCTGGGAGGGAGGGAGGAGGGGTGGGTTTTCCAAACAGACCCGCTGCTTCTGTGGGTCGGCCAGAATCCCGAGGGAGCGGGAGGCCAGAGCCACTGACCACCCGGGCCTGCCTCACTGAAGACAGCGTTGGAGCCTGACCGAGGCTCTAGGCTGCCACCTGCCCCCAGGCCCACGCGTCCTCTCTCGTCTCCCACAGTGTGAAACCTTTCTCTCAGCAAACCTACACTGTCCAGCCGTCACTGCCTCTGCCAGGTGGGTCAGCAGCTCTGCCTCCCTCGTGCACCACACCCCTGTGGTTCCTGCTCCGAGTCCCAGGCCCTGACCGCTAGATGCCCCTAGCAGTCCCCTTAGATGCTGCCCCGGCACGTGCTCGCACCGTGCACCCCAGCTCCCAGCTCCACCTCGATCCTCTTCCAGGAGCCAAGCCCCCTGCGCCCCCAGGGCTGCCCGTCCTCCCCAAGCCCCTCCCCAGCGAGGCTCAAGGCTGGCAGGGTGCGCACAGCTCAAGGGGCAGTGCCTGCGCCCCGGGGTGGCCACTCCACCTGCATGTGCGCCCTGTCCTGCTTGGCTTCTGGGATGGCTTCCCCCTGTGACACTGTAATCCTCTCCTTCAAGGCGGGGGTCCAGCAGAGCATGGCTTTCCAGCCTGGAGCCCCTGGTTAGCAGAGGGAAGGCTCCTGGCATGAGGCAGATGGAGGTCCAGCTGGGCAGCACGGAGCTCCCGCCTTCCCCGCTCACGTGACTCGCTCTGTCCCTGCCTCTTTCTCAGGAAGGTCCCTCCACCTTCCGCTCTGCAGGGCGAGATAGGATCCTCGCCCTCACCCTCCTTTCCTGGCTTGGGAATGGCTCCTGCCTGCCCGGTGGCCTGGCTTTTCCTGCTCTGAGAGCGGGCCCTGCCACCCTCCTTAGGTTCCTGACGGTTGCTCGGGGGCCTCCCACGCCCTCTAGTCCGTGCTCTCCCCTCACGGCTCCCCCACCCCGTCTGCAGTCACATCCCCACTCTTACCCTCTGTAACTCACCTGTCATCTTTTTTTTTTTTTTAATATTTATTTATTTGACTGCATCGGGTCTTAGTTGTGGTGCGTGGGCTTAGTTGCCCCGCAGCGTGTGGGATCTTAGTTCCCTGACCAGGGATCCAACCCGCGTCCCCTGCATTGGAAGGTGGATTCTTAACCACTGGACCGCCAGGGAAGTCCATCCATCATCTTTTTAAAGCATCAATCTCACCGTGCTGCTTCCAGCTTAGAATCTGTTAGTGGCTTCCTGGTGCCTTCAGGACACAATCCGGTCGTCTCCCTGGCTGGACCAGGAGTTTCTCCAGGGCAAGAACCAAGTGGAGGCTGCCCTGGAAGCCCCGGGTCCAGCAGCCATCCCACCCCCCAACCCCAGCCAGCATCCAGTCCCCCTTGAACGCAGTTCCGTGCAGGGGCCCGAGGGGGCTGAGCTGTTCCAGGCTGAGCTCCCTGCCAGGGCTGCCCCTGGACCGCTGGCCAGTGCTCTGCCTGCCCACCCCCCCGGCTGGGAGACCCCGATAAGGCAGACAGTCCGGGGGCCTGGCAGAGGGTGCGGCAGGGAGGCCCTGTGGACCGGCTCCCATGTGCCTTCCACTGTGTGCAGGGTTCGAGTCTCCCGCAGGAGCCTCCCCGTCGCCCTCCGCGCCCCCAGCACCCCCGTGGCAGGGCCGCAGCGTGGCCAGCCCCAAGCTCTGGATGCTGGAGTTTTCTGCCTTCCTGGAGCGGCAGCAAGACCCCGAAACGGTAGGTCCTGGCCTCCCTCTGGCCGCTCTCCCGCCTGGTGCTCATTCCCGGGGTGGCGGCTCCCCTGCTTCCCCCACCTCCTCTTCCTCTGGCTCTGGCTTTCTCGCCCTGCTCTCTGCCCCGCTCCACCTTGGGGCCGAGCTTAGGGTCCTTGTTGCTTTCCATCCCCCCTTATCCTTCCATCCTCTCCCTCCCCGCTTCCTTCTCACTGGACCTTCCCTCTGTCCCTGGCTCTGTTTCTGCTCCCCACCCCAAGCCCTCTCTCGGTTCCTGCGTACCATCCCGGTGCCCCGAGGCTCTGTCCCTTCCCTGCTCCCACCATGTCCGCCTTCTTCCTGGTCCAGCCACCTCTCCGTCTGAAGGCACTGGTCCCAGTCCTGCCCGCAGGCCCTGTGGCTCTGAGGAGTCTCCTGTCTGCCCCGTGTCCTCGGGGACGCCAGCAGGAGCAGCAGCCCACCCCCATCCCTCCCCCTTCAGTGTCTCCGTCCTGGGTGACCGGCGTCACCTGCAAAGTTCAGAGGAGCACCTGGCCAGGTGGACAGGATGCCAGAGTCGTGGGGACTTCACTGACCATTTCACTTTGACATGTTCAAGCTTATGGTTTAGATGAGGAACCCAGCGTGGACCACGAAAGAAGCAACTCTTCTTTAGCCGCAGCGAGGGGCCGCAGCCGCCGCCTCGGGGGGGAGCACCCCTCGTATGGGCCGCTGGTCTTCCATCACAGACGAGATCACGGGGGTCCAGAGATAGAAACTGAGTCGCCTAAGGGTGTTGGCGACAGAGTCAAGACTCAGTACAAGTAGCGACGAGAAAGTGCCAGGCGCCTGCGGGGGTCGCCCTGCCCCCGGTGCTGGGCACCCGCCGACTCTGCTGTGCACTCAGCCCCTCTACCGGCTCCGCTTTACCAGAGGGGAAACAGGCCCCCGCCGTGGCGTCCCTGCTCTGGGCCACTGGCCGGGCTCCGAGCCCCGGTCTGTCTGGTCTGTCTGCCCCGCCGCCCCCGTGGCCCCTCAGACCAGTTCTTCTCTGTCCACAGTACAATAAGCACCTGTTCGTGCACATCGGCCAGTCGAGCCCCAGCTACAGCGACCCCTACCTCGAAGCCGTGGACATCCGCCAGATTTACGACAAGTTCCCCGAGAGGAAGGGTGGTCTCAAGGAGCTCTTTGAACGGGGACCCTCCAACGCCTTTTTCCTCGTGAAGTTCTGGGTAAGCCTTGGATGACCTCCTCCTTCCCACCCCAGCATGTCGATGACCGCAGGGAGAAAGGAGGAGGGGTGGGCCTTGGCGGCGGCGGGACCTGGGACACGCAGGACAAGAGCGAAGGGCCAGCACAGAGCGGCCCTCTGGTGCCGGGAGCTCAGACCAGATGGGGCCATTGGTGCCGCAGAGCAAGGCCCCCTCCTGATGGCGGGTGATGGTCACGCCCGGGCAGAAGTGCGGCCTCAAGGGGTCTGTAGTACCAGAGAGGACCTACAGGAGACCTGAGGGGTAGTCACCCAAGGCTTTCAATGCCAAGGTTTCCGGGCCCGCAGCGGGGCAGCCGTTGGGCTGGGTGGGGCTTGGAGAAGTGGACGGTAGGCTTAGGCTGGGTCATCCCCAAAGAAACACCGAGCTTCTCCAAGAGCTCAGCCTGTAGCTCGGCCTCCGCCGCCCTCCCCAGCTCACCCCTGCATGGGTGCTGTGTGGGTAGAGCCTCCTTCTTTCGAAACCTCCTCCAAGACCAGGAGGCACAGGACCTCTTCCAGGGGCCCAGCACCCACAGAAAAGGGATGCCGGGAAGAGGGACAGGGCAGGAGAAGCCAGCGGGAGGAAGTGCAGGAAATCCTTCTGGCTGGTGGTCAGAGCCTCCGAATCGTCTCAGAGCCCGGAAGCTGGGCCTTTATTTGGTCTCGGACTTTGATAACCTGAAAGCTGTACTCTTCCTAGAAGTGGGCATATTCACACGAAAGCGTACATGCAGTTCCAGGTGGCTTACTGGTCCCTGGCTAGGAGCTCTTAGCCTAGCCCTCATCCGCGACTGAATCTGTGGGGCTGGCTGTCTACAGAAAAGGCAGGAACGGAGACCCAGGGCCCGGATCCCGACGAGGCTCAGTGTTTGCCCTTGCAGGACAGCTTGCTCTGCGAGCCGAAGGGGGTTGGCCCTGGGCCTTCAGGGATGGGCAGAGTTAGGCGGAAAAGGGGAAGGGCCTCCAGGGGGGCTAGTCATGGGTAAACGTGTAAGAGAGGGAACCGCAGAAAGTAAAACAGGAGAGGTGAGTCTGATCCTGGAAGGTCCTGATCCCACAAAGGTCTGGATTTGATTCTCTGCTGGGATGAAAAATAGGTAGTAGTTTCTTTTACTTTATCTTATTTTTAAATCAGTGCACGTTCATTGTTATTAATACCAAAAGGCTTATAAATGAAAACCGTCAGGTTGTCGTCCGCCTCCTCCCAACCCCAAGCCCAATCCCGAGAGGCAATCACTGTAAAATGTCACTGTTTATTCTGGGTTTTATCTCCTTAGTTCTGAATATCTGCTTATATTGCTACACTTTGATATCACGACTATGTGTTGTGTATTTATGGTAGAAAAACACTGGCTGTATTATAGCACTTTCCCCCTCATCATCCCAGTAGGTTATGTAATTTAGTCAAAGCGATAAAGTGTTTAGATTTTGTGACAACGTAGATTGGCCACCAGAGTGTGTGATGATTACATGTCATTTCTGTGCAACTTTTTGTTTTTTCCTAAAAATAAATGGTTCTTTCGCTTGCACATTTCTGAAAAACCGACTATTAAAATTTTACAAATTGTTCTATCATAACCAACATATAATATTTAAAAACTTGTTTTTCACGCAGTGCTCAGGCCTCTCAGAGAATTTATCCTTTGTCCCTTTCTCCTTCTGGATGCCTCTGTTCTGCTCCAATTTGAACCGGTTTTCCTCCAGGCCTGCTCAACAGCTGTCCCGAGACCTCTGTTTACTGCTCCTCTGTTTTGAATCTACAGTTTCCTAGATCTCCTATTTCTCTCTTTTTTGGTGTTCCCCCCTCATTTTGCTGGAATACATTCTCTAGTCCCTTCCTAAGAAAAGGTTCATGGTAGATAAGTGTTCTAAGTCTACCTGTTTGAAATGTCATTTCTTTTCAGTACCTGATTCATAGTTTGGGTACAGAATCTCCATCGTAAGTGATTTTCCCTAGAAGTGGTTTTCAAGAATCATTTTTTGGTTGCTCCGATGTCTTACGAGAGTAGTCCGGTAGTATTCTAATTCTCTGTTCTTTGTTATGTAACTCGGTTGTTTTTAGCCTCTAGGAGTTTTGCGTTTCCTCTCTGTTCCTACGTTAAATTTCACATTGATGACCTTGGGGATCTGTGTTGTTTTTCTTCCTATTTTTGAGCCAGGTACTTGGTAGGCAGTGAGATGAGAGTCTCTCAATTTGGTAACTTTACTTATATTATTTCTTTTTCTTTGTTTTCTCTGTGTTCTTTTCCAGGAACCCCTGTTAGTCTGATGTTGGATATCCCGGACCTATCCTCTCTGATTTTTACCATTTATTTATTTTCCAATTCATTTTCTTAGAGACTTTCTTAACTTTATCTTCTAATTTAAGAGTGAATCTGAGTGAATATTCCATAAAACCCAAAGTAACATTGGCATGAATGAATAGTTCTTCTTTCATGTAAAGTAAGTCTGGAGATAGAGTGTCCAGGTCTGGTCCAGCAGCTCCGTGAAATTACCAGAGACCCTACTCTTCTCTATCTGCCATCCTCAGTGTGTGGCTTCTGTCCTTAAGGTCAAGGCTGCTGGGGTTCCAGCCATCACATCCATTTTTCAGGCATCAGGAAGGGGGAAAGCCAACTTAGTTCCCTTTAAGGAGCCTTCCTGGAAGTCCCACACAATTCTCAATTAGTTGTCTGTTTGTATGTAGCTGCAAAGGAGCCAGGGAAATGTACTCTTTTAGTTGAGTAAGTTGCCATTCTGAATAAAATCAGGGTTCTCTTACTACAGAAAATGAACGACTCTTTCAATTGTTGATGTGTCGTAGTTTAACTGATGGCATTTTTTTCTTAATTGTTTGTAAAATCTTGGTGCATTGTACATTTAGTGGTGAAACAGATTAACGGAATATGGTGGCATTCTCTGCCCACCCCCACCCTGCCCCTTGTATTAAATATTTAATTTTGACCATGACGTTTTTAATTTTTAAGAGCTCCTTCTTCTTCTTTGATTGCATCCTGATCTTGTTTCATGTCTATTTTTTAACTTTTCTTCTGCTCCCTTTGTTTCCTTTTTGTCCCATTTCCTGTCTGGGTCTTTGTCTTTCAAGTTGGAGGATTTTCTCAAATGTCTATAATTCTTGGCCAGATTTTTTGGTCCTTATTTTTTTGACAGCTTTATTGTTATGTAATTCACTTACCATATAATTCACCTACTTAAAGTGTACAATTCAGTATTTTTAGTGTATTCACAGAGTTGTGCAACCAGTTAATTTTAGAACATTTTTATCACCCCCAAATAAACCCCAAACCCATTAGTTATCACCTCCACCCCCAGCCTTAGGCAACCCTAATCTGCTTTCTGTCTTTATAGCATTTTTAGATATTTCACATAAATGGAATCTTACAACATATAGTCTTTTGTGACTGGCTTCTTTCACTTAATGTTAAGTTTTTAAGGTTTAGTCGTATTATAGCACATATCAGGACTTCATTCCTTTTTATGGTTGGGTAATATCCCACTGTCTGGATAGACCACATTTTGTTTATCCATTCATCCGTCAGTGATGGGCATTTGGGTTGTTTCCACCTTTGGGCCATTGTGAATAATGCTGCTATGAACTTAATATACAAGTCTTTGTGTGGACATAGCTTTTCATTTCTCTTGGGTAGATACTTAGGCATGGAATTGCCGGATCACATGCACTATGTATTTATTTATTTTTGGCTGCGTTGGGTCTTCGTTGCTGCACGGGCTTTCTCTAGTTGCGGCGAGTGGGGGCTACTCTTTGCGGTGCGTGGGCTCCTCATTGCGGTGGCTTCTCTTGTTGCAGAGCACAGGCTCTAAGCACGTGGGCTTCAGTAGTTGTGGCTCGCGGGCTCTAGAGCGCAGGCTCAGTAGCTGTGGTGCACGGGCTTAATTGCTCTGCGGCATGTGGGATCTTCCCGGACCAGGGCTTGAACCTGTGCCCCCGGCATTGGCAGGCAGATTCTTAACCGCTGAGCCACCAGGCAAGTCCCCTCTTTTTACATTCTTGACAGTGTCCTTTGAAGCACGACCTTTTCCATTTTGATGAGGTCCAGTGTATCCTTCCTTTTGTTGTTTGGGCCTTTTGTCCGTGTCCAGTGACTGGGAACTCTGTGGACAAGGTGTGGGCCTTGTTACCTGCTGGGCTTCTCTTTCAGGTGGTCGGGGTTGGGGAACCAGCCGCTTTATCGAGGACACTAGTAAATGTCAGCATATTTACTGGACCTTTTCCTTTCCTGAAGTGGTTCAGTTTCTCCAAAGAAGACTCCTACTGTCCCCCCACCCCTTGGCAGGGACAAACGAACATTCTAGCAGCGGGGCAGGGCGAGGGCTAGGGGAGCCGACCGTTTCTTAAGCAGCGTTCACCTCATGCCCTGGCTCCCACCCCCTCTCCTGACATGCCTGGGGGCCCGAAGACCTGACGCCCTCCTGTTTAATTTCTTCTCCTGATGTGTGAAGAGTGGGGGCCCGGAGGCCTGACCACCCAGTGTACAGCCTTTCAGCCGGTTCCTTGTGTCATATCCTGCGGCCCCCTGGCCATCACTGTCCGGGCCCCTGTCGTCCCGAGGGTGGCGCTGACTCCCACCCGGCACCCCTCTGAGGCACTTTCAGGCTGTAACTCTTCTTGCGTCGTTTCCCCGCAGAAGCCATCCTAGCTCAGATCAGCTGTCAGTCCCCTGGAATTTGTTGAATTCTCCTGTCCGTTTGGTCTTCCTCCGTTTCTTCGGGTGTGTGGTACAACGCATTAAAAAAGGTCTTTGCGCTCACCCTGCTGGCTCTCTGGACAGGGAAATGTGAACTTGTACAGTCAGTCTCCGTTGTTTTTTTTTTTGTGCGGTACGCGGGCCTCTCACTGTTGTGGCCTCTCCCGTTGCGGAGCACAGGCTCTGGACGCGCAGGCTCAGCGGCCATGGCTCACGGGCCCAGCCGCTCCGTGGCATGTGGGATCTTCCCGGACCAGGGCACGAACCCGTGTCCCCTGCATCGGCAGGTGGACTCTCAACCACTGTGCCACCAGGGAAGCCCCAGTCTCCCATTTTAACCAGAGGTCCCCGAGGGCCACCGCTAATGGATCGGTAGCAGTTGTTTGGAGTGCTGGGTTGAGGAAGATCCGGAGGGAGGCCTTCCTGGATTGACTGGTAATGTCTGCCATGGGTGCAGCAGGGGAGGGTAGTGTGCATTGCCTACATGTTTACCATCCCGTTGTTTAGGAAATGAGGAGTCCTTGAAGGTTGTTGAATGGGGCATGGCCAGAGCTGTGCTTGGTTACATGCATTAGCCATCCAGACTGACAGCTGCAATACAGGCCGAGAGAGAGACCTCAGCCTCCTTAGGGCCTCGGTGGAGAGACTGGCTTTAGAGTCTGATGTACGAGGCAGGATGCCAGGCTCCCTTTTCTCAGGAAGGGCTTAAACCATCTCACTTCCCTTTTCGTTCTCCCTCTTCTCCCTTCCAGCCCTGAGCGTGGGAGTTGGAACCACAGCAGCCAACTAGCACGGGCACCATCCGGCCAGCGGTGGCGACTCCCACCGCCTGCGTGTGTCCAGGGAGGTTCCTGGCCTTTCCTTAGGAGAGCCTCCGCCCTCTGTCGCCCACTCCTTCCCCCACCCCCCGAGCCTGTCCAGGCTCAGTCTTGACTCGCAAGTACGACCCTGGCTCAGCTACCCCAGGGTTCAATTTAAGGTGACCCCTGACCAGGGAGGCCTGGCTGGCAGGAGGCGTATGGGAACACCACCCTGGTCGTGGCAGATAGCATACTGGGGTGACAGTATTCTGTATTCTTCTAGCCACCATCCAGATGAGAGCCATCCTAGGCCCCCATTTCACAGATGGGGAGACTGAGGCATGGAGTAAGCAAGGGTCTGGCTCTGAGACCCCCAGCGTGGGCAAGCCTTGCTCCTGTAGTCCTTCTTGTGAGGCACACGCCGAGGTAGATCAAGGCAGTCGGCGGCAGGTCACCCCAGGCACTGTTCACAGCCTGACTTGTACTAGCACGTTTCATCCTTGCCACACCCCTGAAGGGAGGTGCAGCTGACAGCCTCGTTCCGTACAGGGGAAGGTGAGGCACAGAGATTGAAAGAATGTGCCGGGCAGCCCAGTCCGCAGTGACAGAAGCAGGATCGGTGCCAGCCAGCCCCGCTCTGGGAGTGTGCTCGGAACCGTCACCCCGCACCATCCTGCCTTGCCGGGTGGCTGGGGTCCCCCGTGCGGCCCCGTGCTCCCCCTGCTTCTGGTGGAGAAGGCTCTGGGTAGCCTAAAAAGGGCCCTGCGCCCCCGAGGAAGGGCAGCTAGTGGGGGCAGGGAGAGAGCAGTCTCAGCTGTGCATTCAGTGTCAAGCCGGGCACTGGGGCTTCCTGGGGCTTCTAGAGCCCAGGCTTCCCTTCCAGGAGATGGGCAGGGCTGTCCTGCCTAGAGATCAGAGCTGGCAGGTGGAAAGGAGGACCAGAGGATCCTTCTCCTACCTGGCTCGCGGGCCTCGTCCTCTGCTTCCTCTTGAGTCTGGGGAGGCTGGAGGTGGGGGTGAGGGGAGGAGAGAAGGTGGAGACGGTGGTGCTGGGCAGTGTGATTGGGCAGGTTCCACGCCGGGCCGCTGTGCTCCGTCCACAGGCTGCGCACACAGCTTGCGTTCCGAGTGGGAGAATCAGAGCAGGTCCCGCCTGCTCTGTGTGGGAGGGGGTGGGCTGCCAGTGAGCCCTCCCAGCGTGTCAGGAGAGCGAGGCAGGCAGCAGAGGGCCCAGCTGGAGAGCTGTGTCCCGAGGGAGTCTCGGCTCCTGTGGGCCCTGTTTCTCCACCTGAAAAGTCAGTACTTTGTTCCGGAGGGCCTGCGAGGGGCTTGTGTCCGAGGACCCTGATGAGTGGGGTCGGCTGGGGGTGGGAGGGTGGGCACGTGGGCGGCCAGGGCACCTTGGCTGTCATCCGGTCCCTCTCCTCCTGCGTGGGGAAGGTAGAGGCGCCAGGGAAGGACAGACCTGGGATGTGGGAGAGGAAGGTCTCCTGCGTGCTAACCACGGGACTTGGGGTCCTCCCAGGCAGCCCCAGCGCCCTAGCCGTCTGGAACCCTCCTCTCCTGCGCCCTGGCCTGTAGCTGGTGTGAGACTGACCACACAATTAGGAAGGGATGCTGCCAGGAGAGGACAGTGTCGCCACACACCCACCTCGCCCCGCCCAAAAGCCTGGTGGTTTTCTGGTCCGGCCCCAGGCCCTGGGCACACAGGCTGCGGAGTGGGTCAGAGCCCGCTTGGAGTGGGAGGAGGACTTTGATGTCCCAGCTCGGCCTCCTGTCCCCCTCCTGCCGATGGTACTGTTCTCTTTGGTGGGGATGGGTAGTAAGTGGCCGGCTCGTGGGCCGCCGGGACTCATCGGTTCCAGCTGGCGGTGGCATTGGGGGCAGGAGGGGTTGGGTGTCAGGCTGTGCTCCGTGGATGTGAGATGCAGGGGCTGAGAAGCTCCCAACTCCCCCAGGACATGTGGGACCAGCAGAGGCCACCTCTGTCCTTAGGCAGTGGGAGAGGGGACTCTTACACGCTGATGGCCGTGAACTCCAGTCTGCAGATTGAAAATGCCGGGCAGAGCTGGGCCGAGGCCGGGCAGGGAGGACAGTACCCCAGACCTTCCTCCGTCGAAGGGCCCTGACATTTCTCCCAGGCACATACCAGCCCATAACAATGAAGCTGAGCCCCCTGGCCCCCGGGCCCGGCTGTCCCGGCTCATCTGTCAGCCACCCGATCCGCTGCACCTGTTCCAGGCCCAGCCTGGGAGCTGCCACCGCACCGTAGCTATGAATAGGGTGGAGGGCAGGGGGCCGCGGGGGCACTCTCAGGGTAGCGTGGGGGGCAGCTTTGCTCTCAGGCTGAGAAGGCAGAGACACTGAGCGTGTGCGGGGAGGTTCTCAGATTGGGGGGTACACGGTGGGGCTGCAGGAGGTGCTGGGTCGTAATTAGGACGGCACCGAGGGTGGTGAGGTGCTGTGGGGTGCGCGCTTCTCGCTGGCCGGGGTCCCCCGGGACCAAGCAGTGGGACCATAGGGTCGGTTCTGGGGCAGACACTGGACCGCCAACGTCTGAGACAGATGAGGCGTCTGAGACTTTCATCTCCGCCCCATCTCCTTCTCTCTCTCTCTCTTGTTCTCTCAAGCACCAGCTCACCTGTTCTACCTGCTCCCCCAAAAGTCACACACTCCATGAGAGCAGAGACAACACTGCAGCCTCTTTGGGCGCCCCCTGTCCTGGCCATGCTGGGCCAGGCAGGATAAACGGGCAACGGAGCGACTGGAAGGACCAGGCGAGTGGGAGGCAATGCCAGAAGCCCCTGGAGTGTCTTTGAGCCGGGGCGGGGCTCCGAGGACTGGCAGGGGTGCAGGGGGTGGAGGCCCCCCTTGTGAGCATAGGACCGCTCCGCACGCAGAGCCGCCGACAGGGGAGAGTTCCAACAGCCCCGTGTCACCCTGTGGAAGGCACACCGCGTGCCAGGCCCGAGCCCTGGGAGAGCTTGGTTCCCACCTCGAGCGTGCTTACCATGTGGAAGGGGCAAGGCCAGGCCCTGCCAGCACAGGGTGGTGACGGGCACGTCCCATCCCCGCGGGGCGCTGGGGAGAGCCTGGAGGGGCCATGCCAGCCCTGCCGGAGCCCGGGGCACAGTGCATGGATTCACATTTCCTCATTAACAGTTAGGTGACTGTTTTCATGTCTATTAGGAGAAACAGAATCCCTGATGTCACGGGTATGACTGCTTAGAATAAGAATGAGTTGATTTGAAAGAAACCGTTAGGGGCGGAGTGGGGCGTGTGGAGAGTGGGACGTGAATAGCATCAATCAGGGGGAGGACGGCAGTGGCTGCATCCGGGAGACATCAGTTCACGTCCTGGCCTCGCCCCCTCGTCCGGGCGCCTGCCCTCCCCAGGAGCCGGGCTCCCTGCCAGCTCTTTTCCAGGCACGGTCCACGTTCCTGCCCTGCGCTCATGTGTCTCAAGCACACACGAACTGTCCCCCAGGCCTTTTTGAGGACGTCCGACGAACCGGGTCTCCGAGGAGAAGCGTGTGACTCAGTAGAGAGAACAGGAGACAGAGAGCTGGTGCTGTCCCCGGGGCCAGGTTTAACTGCACAGCCCGTCACAGCAGCAATTAATTCCCAGCCCACCGCAGGCCTGGCCCACCTCCGCGGGCCCCTGGGCGCCCCTGCCCCGCCCCACGCCCACCACAGATGCGGGAGACTGCTGCTCATTTTGGAGTTTGGTTTTTCTCCTTTTCTTTCTTTTGGCCACGCCGTGCAGCTTGCGGGATCTTTGTTCCCCAACCAGGGATTGAACCCAGGCCCCCAGCAGTGCCAGTGCAGAGTCCTAACCCCTGGGCGGCCAGGGACGTCCCTGTAATTCATTTTCTTCTTTCTTCCTAACGGCCCCATGAAAGCCCTTGCTGGGCACACTGAAATGTATGCCATCTAGGTCAACACGGAAGCAGCCTTTATTTTCATCATAAAGGTAACACATCCTCGGGGCTTCTCTGGTGGCGCAGTGGTTGAGAGTCCACCTGCCGATGCAGGGGACGCGGGTTTGTGCCCCAGTCTGGGAAGATCCCACATGCCGCGGAGCGGCTGGGCCCGTGAGCCCTGGCCGCTGGGCCTGCGCATCTGGAGCCTGTGCTCCGCAACGGGAGAGGCCACAACAGTGAGAGGCCCACATACAGCAAAAAAAAAAAAAAAGTAACACATCCTCGTTCTGCTTTATGACCTGCATTTTTCTTTCTTTCTGCTCAACATTATGTTGTAGTCAGTTCACAATGGTAAATACAGGTCCCTGTCGACACGGTATGTGGCTCTGTAATATTTCTGCTGTGCCCAAGACAGTTGCCCCCCTGCCAGTCTAGAGGGTCTCCTTGCTCTTGGAAAACTTCTTTCCCCAAAGGAGAGAAAAGTAACGACTTTGATGGCCAGGGGCAGAGCAGCCCGGGGCCCGGCTCTGAATCCTGCTGGAAACTTCCCAGGGTTCTGGGGCTCCCTGTAACTTTGTGCAGAAGAGTCCTTGGGGTCAGAATCCTTATCGCGGTCAGGAGCTCCTCTGCGTTTGTGGGGCTGCAGTCTGGGTCCCGCTGGGCAGTGATCTGGGACGAGTTGTGTGGGTGGGAGGAGAGGCTTCCCCCTAAGAATAATCCTCTTGTGATGTTTGCACACTGCTTCTGAGTCTGAAGCCGCTCTGTTAGCCCCTCAAACGGGGTGATTGGCTGTGGAGCCCAGGTTCCGGAGTGGGGACCCCTCAATGGTTGGGGGCTTCGCCGAGGCACCAAACAGCCTCACCCAGCGTCTCTCGTCTGGGCGGGAGAAGCAGCAGAGCCGGAGCCTGAGGACCCAGGGCCCGTGACTCATCCGCTCTGTGGCCTTGGGCAAGGCCCGCGGTCGGGGAGCCTGAGATCAGACTGAGGCCCCCGTCCTGCCTTGTCCCCCTCGCAAGGAGTGGGTGTGAAGTCATGAGTCTTATTACCCACCTTTCCTTGGGGGGGCAACTTCAAATCGCCCCAACACGCAGCAGGAGGCGTCCTGGACCCTGCCTTCAGGCGCGAAGCTGATCAGAGGCCCGGGGGCTCCCACGCCAGGCTGGGGAGGGGTTCCCTTTGGCAAACGGGCTCAATGAGAGGGTGCTAACCAGACTTCTGTCGGGCACAGAGCTCTCAGCAACTGCAGAGGAGCCCAGGGGAAGGAGGCCGGTGTTGGGGAGATTGGTCCGGAGGCAGAACAGAGATGCAGAAGGTCAAGGGTGGCCGGGCTCGCGGTGCCCCAGAGATGGCGGGAGGCCAGGCCCCCAGAGCCACCGCTGAAGGGACACTGGCAGGGCCCTAATGTTCTAAAGACCGATTTGGGGCCCCGCCTGCTGGGCTGTTGGTACCCAGTGGGCAGCAGGGCCGGGAGCTGATGCAGGCCCAGGTTCTTGCCATTGTTTGGGGCACACGGCCTGACTTTGCACCAGGCCTGCGTGTGGATGGACGAGGGAGCTTTCCGAGGTCCTGCGTCCACGTTTTTTTCTGAGCCCCCTGATGGCGTCCTGGCCCTGGGGCCTGGGCTGTGGCCCCAGAGGCCTCCTCAGTGCCGCCCCCAACAGGGCCCCTGTGAGTTACCGCCCCTCCTTGGTCTCCCCTTGTCTCCCTCCAGGCAGACCTCAACACCAACATCGAGGACGAAGGCAGCTCCTTCTACGGGGTGTCCAGCCAGTACGAGAGTCCTGAGAACATGACCATCACCTGCTCCACCAAGGTCTGCTCCTTTGGCAAGCAGGTGGTGGAGAAACTGGAGGTGAGCACGCGCCGCTGCTCGCCCGCCTGGGCGCCAGACCGTCGCGCCCCTGCGGCCCGGGCTTCTCACCTCTGTGCCCAGATATGTCTGAATGAATGCAGTCTGACCCTCACCGTGCCTCTTCATTGACAACCCACCTCCCGTCCAACACAAGCAGAGCACCTGCCCCCCCTCCCCATCCTGGTGGGCCTCACCTGTTGCCCGTCAGGTCACGGGGAGCCGTTCCAGCGCCCCAGAGCTGAGCTCCCCTACGGCTCTTAACCCACGACCCCTCGGGTGGTTGCGGGCAGCAGCGGTCTCTGAGAAGCTCTTTGAGTTAGTTATTTCTAGCGAAATTTTAATTTTGAGGTCGCTGTGGCTCCAAGTGCAATGGTAATCCCTTCCCTAGTTGCCCCGACGGCAGCATCTTACATACCTAGAGTGGACCATTAGTAACCTGGCTGTTGACACCGACGTAGCCCGCCAACCCGAGTCAGATTCCGTCCGTTTACACGCACTCGCTTGTGTGCATGCCTGTGTGTGTGCACCCAGATGTGTAGCTACCCATACGTGACGGTTCCGTGGCCACAAGGTCCCTGTGGCCCGTCCCCCACGTGCAGCCGGGATTGAGCTGTCATTCCGTCTTCGTCTCCACGCCTTGAAGCTCCTTCCTCCGATACCCGGCGTGTGGGTCACAGGGGGTGGGGGGTGCTCTGTCTCGAGGGCTCCCTGGGCTCTGCCCGTCCTTCCCACCTAAGGCCGGGCGGGTTGTAGAGCTTCCTCACGGGGCCGGCCAGGCTGGCCGTGGGTGGCGGCCTCCTAAGCCCCACTGTCCCCGGGCCCCGCAGACTGAGTACGCGCGCTACGAGAACGGCCACTACTCCTACCGCATCCACCGCTCGCCGCTCTGCGAGTACATGATCAACTTCATCCACAAGCTGAAGCACCTGCCCGAGAAGTACATGATGAACAGCGTGCTGGAGAACTTCACCATCCTGCAGGTGTGCGCGCAGGGGTGTGCGCAGGGGTGTGTGCAGGGGTGGGGCTGAGAGCGGGCGGTGGGCAGAGAAGGTGGCATGCTGTCTCCTGGCCCCGACCCCCTCCTCCCCTCACCCCTGCAGGTGGTCACCAACAGAGACACGCAGGAGACGCTGCTGTGCGTCGCGTACGTCTTCGAGGTGTCGGCCAGCGAGCACGGGGCTCAGCACCACATCTACCGGCTGGTGAAGGAATAAGAGACCGGGGAGCAGGGAGGGGGGCAAGACATCGTGTGCGCAGGGACGCGGGGTGGGGACCCGCGGGGGCAGCCCCCCCCGAGCGCCAGGAGAGTGGAGGTCATGACTCTTCTACCAGGAACGTGAACCCGCAGTGCCTAAGCCCAATAAACGCAAGACCTGGGCACCTTCGGAGGCCCCGTCTGGCTGTGTGAGCCCCGGGAGGGGCTGAGGGAGCAGGCGGCTGGCTGGGAAACGGGCCGGAAGCGGCCCCGGGGTGCCGTCCTGAAGCCAAGGCCCCAGTGGACTCGGCCAGGAACGTCCAGACGCTGAAGCTCAAGATGGGTCAGCCCCTGCGCTGCACTGGAGCCGCTGCCGGCCACGCTGGGAGGCCTGCGGGGGGCGTGGGTCCTCGGCCACCTGGGAGTGCCGGATGCATCCGCCCTGGCCACCTCTGCTGCTGCTGCCCCAGGACAGCCGGCAGGGAGGCGCGGCCCAGTCCCGGGGGGGGTGGGTTTCAGGTGTGGAGGTGACTGAACTCTCGGGAGGTTGGAAGTGGACGCAGTCAGAGCTCTTTAGGTAGTTTTCATCCGTCTCCAGGCATGGGCTCCGTGGCCACGCTGGCTGCCCGGGGTGGGGTGGGTCCCAGGTCAGGGGAGCCTGAGACAGCGAGTGTGGGAGTGCAGTGGTGCAGCCAGCTTTTGAGTGTGGGCGGTGAGGCCAGAGTCACGCGGCCTCCTCTGTGGTGGGAAGGCCAAGACAGTTGGTCAGAGGTCTGCGGTGGACCAGTGGTTTCTGAGACCACGCAGTCTGCATGGTCTGTGAGTCTCACCGCAAACCCCTCCCAGCCAAGAAGCCTGCCGGTGCCGCCTTTGAGCAGCCCAGGCCGTCCACGCCGTCCCTAAGTTCACTCCCTCCCCAAAGGTCAGGTTCTGTGCCCCGCTCTCCGCTGCGCCTGGAGGGGACCCGCGGAGGGATTTCCCTGGTCTGTTTCTCCTGGGAACTGGCCTCGGTCCTCGTGTTCCCTGCTGCCCGAGCTGTCTCAGCGTGAGTGTCCTTCCTCCCTGTAAAGGGGGATGGGCGCAGTGAGGAGGAAAGATCATGTCGGTAAAGGGCCTGGTGCAAGATGCACCAGATACAGTAAACATTATCATCATCCCCTTATCCCTGCCCTCGGGGCTCTCGGGGCCCGGCTCTTTGCTGCCATCTAGCGGCCATTTGGTATCACCTTCTCTGGTGGGGAACCGCAATTCCAGGAGCCTGGGGCCGAAGGGGAACAAGATTCAACCTGCAGGTGGTGTGTGTGCCCAGCACTCAGGGAGATGTATGGGGATAAGAAGCGAGTAAGACGACGTTGAGGAGGTGTTACGGAGCAGTTAGGAGCAAGGGCTCTGGAGTCAGGCTGCTAGGATTGGAATCCTGGTGCTCCGCTACAGACTAGCTGTGTGGCCTTGGGGCAAGCTACCTAATTTCACTGTGCCTCAGTTTCCCCGTCTGTAAAATGGGTATAACAACAGTACCTACCTCGTGTATGCAGAGTGCCTAGCACGGTGCCGAGCACACAAGCGTGTTCGATACACATGCGTTATTATTCATAGCATCTGACTCCTTGCAATCTGAGAAGTCAACCTGGAAAACTCTTAAGTGGGGTGAGCGGTCCTCAGAGCAGCTGGAGTTCAGAGGTGGGAGGGGGCAGGGCGTGGAAGGTTCGGGGATGAGGGGGAAATTGAGAGGGGCTGCCCCTTGAAAGAGGGGCAACGTCTAGGTAAGCAGCCTGTGGACGGCTGCTAGGCTCCATGCCAAGTTGTGTGACCCTCGTGCGTGCGGGGACCCAGCTCCCCCTTGTGGATGATGTGTTGTGGAGGGGGCCTTGGGGTCCCTGAGAAGCACTCACACGTCCTCCTCTGGTTAGTGTCTGCTAAGGCTCTCCCGCCCTCCCCCCTCCCAGCCCCTGTTTCCGGGGCTGTCAGAATAAGGGGAGCTCGTGACGCCTGCCCTCCCAGCACGACTGACCCTTCCAGCAAGGGCTTGAGAAGCGTGTGTGAGCAGCCTCTGGGCCCTGGGACGGATGCACACACTAGGTCCCTCGTTTTGTATCGTGGGTGAGGGCTGCCAGTGCAGCTGTCGGGTCCACGTGTTGGCTGTGAGTCTTCCCTTCTCTTTAGGAACTGACCTCAGTAGCCTAAGGGACACTAACCTACTTAGAGCTGGAAAGTCCAAACCGGTCACAGCCACGGAGAACACAGGTGCAGGCGCCTCTCCCCGCGGTGTCGTGCAGACCGCGGCCCTCGGGGCCCGCAAATGGGAGACCCGACCCGGCCCCGCCTCTCCTGCAGCCTCATCTGACACCCCCCTGCGCCCCTCCCCGCCTTTCGGCTCTGGCCCTGGAGAACTGTCACTCATTCTTCAAGAGCCAGCGTGGAGCCACGTCTTCTCCCGCAGAAGGGCCGGTTGCTCCTGTCCTGGCGTGGAGAAAGCGTTCCATTCGCAACCCGTCAGAGCACCTGCCACGCGTCCCTGGACAGAGGGCCTGTGTCACCTCTTCCACCCTCACCCGGGGGCGCTGTGCTCTCCCCATGTTAAAGATGAGGAAGGTGGGGTCTGGAGAGGCCGGCTGACTCGCCTGAGGCTGAATGCGTTTATCCACTCGCGTAACACACGTTTATTTAACTTCTGCTTGTGCCAGGCGCGGGACGTACTGATGGCCGGGACAGACGGGGTCCCTGGGAGCTTGCGTTTTACTGAGGAGGGAAGACAAAGTGAGCGGGTGAAGGACGTGCAGACTGACGGGTGCTGACAGGAGAGGGCGCCGAGGCCGCGGCCTGGGGGGCGGGCGTGACGCGTGTCCCAGGGACAGCAGGGAAGCCACATCAGGAACGCAGAGACGCAGGCCCAGATCCCGCCCAGGCCCTGCCCCACGCTCGGGAAGGGCTTCGGCTTTTTCTGCGTGTGATGGGAGGTCCTGGAAGTGTTTTAAGCAAGGGAGTGAGACTGTCGGGTCTGATTTCTGGGAAGCAGCACTGGTGGCCGTGGACCACAGAGCAGTGCGCGTCCTTGCTTCCGAGTCAGCCTCGCCCCCTGGACTCAGCATCTGGCTGGGGAGACCGTAGCTGCCCTGCTCTGTCACTTTCTGTAACCTGAACCCACGTCTGGGACACAGCAGGTGCCTGATGAGCGTTTGAAGGGTGCCCGTGTGCAAGGTGTGTGACCCGTGCCTTTTGGGCCTGGGAGGGGTGATGGGTGGGTGTCCCCGAGCCTGCGGGATAGGACTCTGCTGACATCAGGAGTCAGCAGGCGGGGATGTGGAACCAGGATGGGTGCCTGACCCATGGGGTCCGATGGCCCAGCAGACAGTGCCCCAGTGACCACCAATGACCTTCCATAGGGTGGGTGACCTGCATGCGACAGGAGTTTGGGAGGCGCGTGTGACGCGGCCCCGCCCTTCTGGGACCGGAGCCAGGCTGAGGAGCGCGGGGCTGTGTGTACCAGCTTGGGGCCCCTGCTCCCTGGCCCGCCCACGGGGCTCAGAGGGCAGTGGGGTGGAGCAGGGCCCGGGTGTCCCTTGTTAGCAGGGGTGGCGACAGCAGGGAGCCCCACAGGGACCGGGCCACCAGTGCACACCTGGGCTGCACCTGCCTGGAGGAGGGACTCGAGCTGGAGCGGGGGCGGGCTTGATTTTCCCCCTCATCCCAGAGGTCACCGCGTTTGACCCCTTCTGACATTACTGCCCAAGACACGAAACGAGAAGGTAACTCCAGATAAGTTGTTCTTGAGAACGGAAGCCCCGGAGCCAGGCTTCCAGGGTTGGCTTCTTACAAGTCGTGTGACCTTGGGCGAGTGACTTACCCTCCGGGAACCTTTGTAACCTCGTGTGTGAAATGGGAATAAAGTGAGCTGACTGCGGGGAGGAAGAAGGTGACCGCACCTGTGAGGGGCGGGCCCACACCTGTGAGGGGAGAGGTCGACACCTGTGAGGGGGCGGGCCCACACCTGGCCCGTGGGGCGCAGCGGGGCAGCGAGTCGGGCGAAGAGGACCGTCCCACCCCGGCCACGGACACTCACGTGTTCACACAGCACTCACACACGCTGAATACACACACACACACACACAGGCGCACACACACACTCCTACGCACTATATACACCTACACACACTCATACACTCACCACATACCTACTCACTGTATACGCACATATATACACACATGCACCACACATACCTACACACACAGCGTATACACACACACGCTTACACACATTCATACACTCATCACGTACACACACGCGTATACCACACACCTACACACACTCACCACAGACGTACACACACACACACACACACACACACACACGCTCATCGTTAGAGAGGCAAAAGCTCTGCTCCGATGCCCCTCGAAAGGCAGAGAGGAGGCCTCGGGGCTCCGGGTCGGGCAGACTTTCCTCCTCGCTTTGGGGGGCAGAAACAGGGGAGCAGGTGTTCTTCATTGAGAAAATAACTCTCGAAAGGGAGGGCCAAGCCACTCCGAATAAGAAACTGTCCTGAATTTGGTTTTTGTGTTACTTCCTGAGACAGGACGGGTGTGGTGGGCACGCACCTTCGCGGAAGGCTGGAGCCCAGCGGGAGAAAACCGTGTCTCTGAGCTCATGGATGTCTGATTCAACTTTAAGTTTTTTGTATTCTGCTCTGTAAACCCCCTTTGTCTCCACGTCTTCAGTAAAGTCTGCTCCACACACCAAGGCCTTTGTGCGAGTGATTTCTTTGTATGGAAATGAAGGAGCCCCAGGCGCTGTTGGTGGAGCACAAGGCAGCCGCTGCAGAGCCGTCCAGTCTGGACCAGGCCGGGGGGAGCAGCGTCTCAGAGCCGTCCACCAGCTGACGGCCCCTCCCGAGAGGACAGGAGAAGGGGCCGCGCGCGGGGTGACGTCCCAGCCAGTCCGAGCCCTTGGAAGGATGTGCCTTGGCTGCCATCCGAGCCAGTCAGTCGCCTCCCAGCTCCTGCGAGGCTCCGGGTTCTGTGAGCGCCGCAGTTTCAGACGCAGAGCGTTAGGTGCTTAATAAGCAACAACTGGACTCAACCCCCCTGGATTTGAAGAGCCACCAAAGCAGGAGGTCCCGGCCGCGCCTGGCAGGGTGTGGTCCCTACTTTGGCCTCCTAGGAACTTGATTTGAGCCCTTGACCCGGGAGTGAGTG